AGGTCAGTAGACACGCTAAAAACTGTTTCTGTATTATATGAGTTCAGCGTAAAAATGCAAACATTCCGGTCTCCAACCTGTTTCAAGTGGAACCACTCTGTCAACGATTCCGCCGCCCCCACGAAAGTAGAGTTGATCATGAACAAGCCCTGATTTATCTAGTCTCACGTAGTCAGACTCAAAAAAAAAGTTTTATGAGATAGTCAATAAAACTTAATATAGATGATATACCAGGTCCTCGTTCTTGAAAAACGGGTTTACAGGCTGATGGGTTATGTATGGCCGGGAAGAACGAGCGGAACTCAAGTTTTCAGGTTGCCAAAGAGGGAAAAGATCTAGAACCTACCCAAACTCGTACCGCCGAAAGCAGTGCGTTCGCAATACAATGAGTTGGACTGCTACATGATCCCTGTTGGAATACTAGCTAAACTTACGAATCGTTCACTTCGCCAGGCACTGAAAAGTTATCACCAGACAAATCGAAGAAAGAGCCACCTGAAGAGTCTACGGTATAGTCTTATACGTTAGGCGAGATGAGAAAGGATAAAAACAGAAGCACAGACACAAAGCCCGTTTAGGGCTGCCACCCGTGGATTCACGGCAACGGCCCATGGAAAAACGGCCGTGGACTGCCCTAAAAAACTCCTGACGGCACGGCACGGGCAACGGCACGGCCGTAACGGGTCGACGGCATGTTGAAAATATACATGCACTATGCCTTGTATATATATTATCCTGAGGGTCCCTTCTGCAATCTTTCACTATCTGTAGGTATTTACCTGCTTCAGAGTCGAAACTATGGCCAGTATATAGTCGGAAACGTAGTTTTGAACATGTTTCGTTATTCAAACTCCGCCATCAGTTCGCGGCAAATTCCGGTACTTGGTAGAATAGCGCAAAGAAAGTAGATTATAATAAGCTACATACCTCATTTAAGGGCATATTAAGGACCCGGGAGGCCTCAAAGGCGGATACAAGCGGTACAGTGAGCGTGGAAACAGAAAAGCCGTTCCACGGCCGTGACGGCCGTGTTTTACGGGCCGTTTTACGAAGGGAAAAATCCTCGACGGCACGGGACGGGTACCCGTGCCACGGGTGCCGTGGAACCGTGACCACGGCAACGGGCGGCAGGTTAATCACGAGGCCCGCCGCCATTGTCTCGAATTTTCACTCTCTCATCCTTGCCACTTCAATTCTCGGTACGCATCGGGCTTAATTAGCTTAACTCCCGACGCGCACCCTCGCCTGTGTTTTACTGCTCAGGTCCTGCGCAGGACCAAAAATAAATAAATTGTGATCTGTTCAGCGAATGGCAGGACCCCGAATCGAACGGGGACTTCCGGGCTATTATGCTGGGATCATGTGTGTGAACGGGCGACCCGGCGCGCACCTTGCGCCTCCCTGCCTTGTCTACACTATCCAGGTCCTGCATATGCACGGATTGGGTTTTGAAAGTCAAATTCCCCGCTCGCTCGCGAAATACTAGCAGCGCGCTAGCATCGATTCGATTTTTACATTGCAGGACAACCAATCGTATGCCGTGCATCTGTGCGGGTAGTCATCCACTCGATCCCTCCCTAAGCTAGAAATCTGAGCGGTCGGAGGCGACGATATCCTTCCTTCCCTGGCAGCGGAAGAAAGTGGATCCTGTCCCTGAGGAGAGGTGCGAAATCGCTGACGCCCCACACAAGCAACGAAAGCAAGCTAGCGAAAACGAAGATAAAAAAAGGTACATAGCAAGACCCGGGCGGGCCGTTGAGCAGAACAGCGGATTCCCTGTCCGCGGGAAGGAGATGGGCTGGAGGGGAAGGAAAAGGATGATAGAGATTGGCCGAGTAACGACGCACGCTAGGATGCGTTGCGCTATCGCTCGGCGGTACTACTGGTAGTGTCCCCAGGGCCGCCAGATCTGAAATAGACCGACACACCGGCGTGTCCGTGCCCACATACGCGAAAGAGAAGAAGAGAGAGAAAAGACGTTGCGACACGCGAGGGAGATGCAACTCGCGCGACGCCAGCTGCTATCCCCGACCTCCAGCTCCAGGGTGCGGGGAAGACAGCTCGTCGCGTGCGCCGAGCTGCACCGCAGCGCAGCTCCTGCTTCCAAGGCTCACGGGTAGCCCCCCCTCCCCGGGCGCCTCGCCACGGGTACCAGGAGCAGGCGGGCGACGTATCCCGCGGGGGCCGATGATCACGGGAGGAGACAAGACGAAAGAAGGGGAAAGGGGTCGAAGAGGGGAGTGATTCGTGAGCGCAGGATAGGGAGGACGGGTCGGGGATCGGGGATCGGGAGCAGGGGGACGAAGGGGTGGATGTAAGGGGTGAGAAGGGGCACCGACGATGGAGGTGGTTGAGGCGAAAGAACGGAACGGAAAGAGGGAAGGAATGGATAAATGGCGTAGAGGAAGGAGGCGGGGATGGACGACAAGACATAAATGAAGGCCAAATTGCTCGGTGGGTGGACGAGAAGTCTGCGAGCTGTCGATCCCGTGCTGCGCGCGCGGGGCGAAAATGTAGCTCGGAGGGCCAAAGCAGCAACGAGAGCGAACGCACGCGATTGAGCGTGCACCTGGTGGGTACGCGGGGAATCAATCGTAGACGTGCGGCTTCAGCGCGCCTCGAGGTGTACGCGGCACTAGCAAACGATGGATACGCAGAACTGCTTCGAGACGGTGTCAGCGACATAGATGAAGGGCCGAGATCGAGTGCACCGGGAGTCAGCCCCCCGCCGCACCCAGAAGCAGAACGCGGTACGCTACACCCGCCCCGCCGCCCACGCACCCACATCGCCCTGCCGCCTGCGCACCACAACGCGCACACCTCGCGTACCCCACGTCCCCCCTCTCCCCGCGCGCATTCGCCACACCCGCACCCGCACCCGCACCCGCACCCCAATCGTATCGTACACAGCGCGCGCGGGCGCGGTCGATCGCTCGCACGCCCACATCCCACATCGCCCCGCCGCCCGCGCACCACAACGCGCAAAAGCGTACCCCACGTTCCCCCCACGCCCCCTCCGCGCGCATCCGTCCTGCGTCGCCGCACACGCTTCCCCACCCACCCCCCAATCGTACGCAGTGCGGTCGCCGATCGCTCGCACACCCACATCCCACATGGCCCTGCGCATACCCGCCGCCCGCGAACACAACGAGAACGGGGGTCAATCTGGCGTCGCGCGCGCAACGGGTGTACGGACGTGTTGCATGGGGCCGATACGGTGCACGGAGCAAGATACGTGCGTCCCCGCCGCACCATCCGCTCCGCCTCACACGACCACGCTCGCACACCGGCGCATACCCGCCACGCGAAAGTGGCGTGAGCGGCTCGAGGTGCCCAAGGAGGAGCGTACGGCGGGCAGGCGACGTGCCTGCGCCGTGGTGGGTGTACTCAAGAGAACAGTTGGTGCGGGAGCGCCATGGTGGGCAGCGGGGCGCCGGCGCGGGACGACAAAAGCGTGGCGCAGAAGCCCGGATACAGCGCAGGTGTGCATATAGTAGCGACAGTGGGATCAGACTTGCAGCGGCGGGCGCGGTGTGCCTAAGGTGCAGGCAGGCTACACAGCGAAGGCTTCACAGCGCGGGAGGGTGGAGTACTAGTGCTCATCCGAGATTCGAGGCGGATGGGACCGCGCGTCGAGGGCCTAGCCGGCGCTGCGCTGTGTATTTAGACGGCGCGGTCTGTTGTCGCAGAAATTCGAAACGGCAGGAAATTGAGGAATCGGCCAGCTACAAATTTCACGTTAATCGGCCCGATTCCGGATCCGTTTCGGTGTCCCCATAAACCTGCATGTTTTCTCGCGCTCAGAGTCCCCAGAGACTGGGCCAGAGGACAAAGCGTGATTGGTCATCCGGGGAATGCCGGATGCTCTCTCTCAGAAACCACCATATCGAGCTCGTCGTCCGAGTAGCTTGGAACGACGTCAGGATTGGGCAGAGTGCGCGTTGGGTTACTCGAGTCACGCTGTTCGACGTACCGCTGCGGCTGTTCTCCTCCTCCTCCGCTCCGAGCCATCTGTTTGGGCCTCTCTTAATCAGGAATCTAACAGGGAAAAAGAGGCAGGAAGGCGCACGGTGCGCATCGGGTTTTTGTGAGTCCCAGTCATCTGCTGCGCAATAACCCGAACGTCCCCGTTCGACTCGGGGTCCTGCCATAGGGTTGGAAGCAAGAATTTATTTTTGCTCTTCCTTCGTTTGCTCCTTATACTGTCAAGATAGGCTTCGGACTACATGCATGCTGCCATGTATTGTAGCGGTGCAAATGGTGAGTTCTATTCAAATCATGGCACCAGTAGAACTTCTTTCCACTGAACTCCGTGATATTTTGGCACTAACATATCCGAACCCAGGTGAGCGTGATTCTTCCTGCGTCTATCCAGGTACTGAATACTAGAAAAAAGGCAGGAAGGCGCAGGGTGCGCGTTGAGTTTGTGTACATTTGTCATCTGCGCAATAACCCGAAGGTCCCCGTTCGACTCGGGGTCCTGCCATGAGAGGTTGCGCTCTTTTTATATGAATATCCTCCCGCCCCACATGCAGATTTTTTTTGCAGATTTTCCGCCAACGCAGCGGGTGAGTTCCACACTCAATTGATATTTTTCTACGCTCGATTGATATTTTGGCACTGGTAACAAATCCCAACACGGGCTGGCGTGAATCTTCCTGTATCTATCCAGGAACTGAGTGGGAGGAAGAAGGCAGGAGGGCGCAAGGTGCGCTTTGGGTTTGTATACATGGTTGTATGTGTTATGTATAACCCGAAGGTCCCCGTTCAACTCGGGGTCCTGCCATAGTGCTTCAGTGGCCTTTTTATATATATTATATCCTCCTACATAAGGGTGTTCGTCCGGGGTCCCGCATGCAAGTTGTTTTTTTCTCAGCGTTGCGGATATTCGACCAACGCAACGGGTATGTTCGGCACTCAATTGGTTTCTCATGAATGCAAGGGGTCGATAACTTGAAGTTTGCTCGTGCATCCATCCAGGTACTGAATACTAGAAATAAGGCTGGAAGGCGCACGGTGCGCGTTGGCTTCTGTTGCATTATGTATGACGTGATAAGCAACTCGAAGGTCCCCGTTCGACTCGGGGTCCAGCCGTTAACCGGTCGCTTAAAAGGTTTTTGCTCTTCTTTCGTTGCTCCATTCTTTTTGACTTCATACCTTCAAGATAGGCTTCAGACTATATGCATGCATAATGGGTGAGTTCCATTTGGATACTTGTTCTTCTCAGTGGTTCCACTGAACTCGTGATATTCCCCCCTGGTAGACCTGAACGCAGGCGAGCATGATTCTCCCTACATCTATCCAGGTACTAAATACGAGAAATAAGGCGGGAAGGCGCAGGGTGCGCATTGGGCTTCTGTGCCGAGATCTCCAGCTATTGAACAACCCGAAGGTCCCCCGTTCGACTCGGGGTCCTGCCATTAACAAGCTTTCAGACCTCTTTTTTCGTTGCGTCGTTCTTTTTGCCTTCATACTTCCAAGACAGGCTTCGGACTACATGCATGCTTCCATGCATCGTTGCGGCGCAAATGGTGAGTTCTATTTACTTGTTTATCTCCAGCGGAACTTTGTTCCATTGAACTCGTGATTTTTTTTCCCTGGTAGATCTGAACCAAGGCGGGCCTGATTTTTCCTGCATCTATCCAGGACCTAGGTAGGAGGAGGAAGGCAGGAAGGCGCAGGGTGCGCGTTGGGTTCTGTTACAGTGGCTTGATGTCATAAGCTACCCGAAGGTCCCCGTTCAATTCGAGGTCCTGCCATTCTGAGTTTAAGCTGTGCTGAGTTTTGATTTTTTTTCTGACGCATTCTATTCGTTCGCAAATACTTTTTGTCCCGGGACTTCATCATATCCACGGGCAAGTTCCATAATTCCACGCTCGGTGGATTTTTCTTTTTACACTAGGGGAGTTCACGGTAGGGCATATTTTCCCATTTGTAAATATATATATTCAAGTGATGGGCCAAATAAACCCGTCGTTTGTGGAATAAATGCGTGATCACCCCGTTTGAGTCTCAGGATATATTTCTATAGCATTAATTCCACCTGCCAGGCATACACACCTCACAAACACCTTATTTCGCCATCTAGTCATCTAACAGAGCCCTATATCGGCTAAACAATAATTTGGTTCAGGGAGTATTATTTCTATTTTTTTGATGGGAGGCCGGAACTGTTGCAGGCGATGAGCGGGAGAGGTGGGATGATGGGTGGGGGAGGCGGGATGATGGGCGGGGGAGGTGGGATGATGGACAGGGGAGGCGGGATGATGGTCGGGGGAGGCGGGATGATGGACAGGGGAGGCGGGATGATGGGCGGGGGAGGCGGGATGATGGGCGGGGGAGGCGGGATGATGGACGGGGAGGCGGGATGATGGACGGGGGAGGTGGGATGATGGATGGGGGAGGCGGGATGATGGACGGGGGAGGCGGGATGATGGACAGGGGAGGTGGGATGATGGGCGGAATAATGGGTGGGATGGGGCGGGATGATGGGCGGGATGATGGGTGGGGGCATGGCAGTCACAGGCAGCTTGCTTACTCAAGCAGAGGAATATATTTTACAAACGAGTGTTTATTCCACAAACGACTTTGAAACTCGTTTGTGGAATATCTTTAGTTTGTAAAAATAATGGTCCCATCACTTGAATATATATATTCACAAACGGGAAAATATGCCCTACCGTGAACTCCCCTACTGACTCAATTGATCTCTTATGCTGACAAAACGTAGCGCAGGCAGGCCTGATTATTCCTGTGTCTATCCATGACCTGAGTAATAGGAGGAAGGCAGGACGGTGCAGGGTGCGCGTTGGGCTCTGTTAATTGTGCCGCATGGTCGCTGGATTTGATAAGCAACCCAAAGGTCCCCGTTCGACTCGGGGTCCTGCCATGCCGTGTTGATGTCTGATTCTTTTTTATATATTATCTCCTCCCAAGGGTGTTCGTCTGCATTTGATGGGATTTCCACCTGCCCTTTGTCTACCCTTTGTCTACCATTTGTCCCTTCTTGTCTACAAAAGACACTTTGTCTGCTCATTGTCATCCATTTCACCACATGCGAACCACATGCATGTAAGGCACTTGACTTTCAAGTGCCTTGGTGCTTGCCCCCGGTGTCAGAGAAGAATAGACTAATGCCTCAGGAAGATCAGGAATAATCTGGGACCAGCTGCTAAGAAGCATATTACCCGGTCCGGCCTTGGCACTTCAGGTTCGCATAGTGACTGCACTGAAGGAGGAAATAATAGATTAATGTGGTAGACAAAAATATAAAGTACGGACGCACTAGAGATTCGGCAAATCGGGGTAGCTTGCAGCCAACAAGGGATCTTGAAGTTTGGTGTTGAAAGTTTCGTCCACGTCCGGGAGTTTGCTGAATAAAGAGAGCGTCAGGACAGCTCCAAAAAAATACAAGATGACGTACTCAACATGAAGAATGTTGTATTCTTCGAGAACGGCTTGAGAAGGCGGAGCTGCGGGGATGGTAGTCGCACGGGTCGAACGAAGAGATCTGCGAGGCTTCGTGGGATGGGATCCGTCACGATTGCCGGAACCACGATTATGGCCGTCACGATCATCATTAGACACAGAAGTCGCAATCAACCCAGCAGATCCTTCGGTAGCAGCCTCGCCATAACTATCACCGGAAGAACACATGCTCGAGTCGGGCACATGGGACCTTTTCAACACTGCAGGTGTCACGGAGCCTAAGTTCTTAGACTGGAGGAACAATAAAAATTCGCTAAGACAAAGCATAGGTGCGAGTGGCCAAGTTGATATCGAACCCACATGAAAACGTACTGAAAATAGGCATCCTTCATGTGGGACAAAGGGCGCTCGTCAGATTGAAGGCCAGGAACAGGTGCGAGCCTGGATTCCGCTGATTTGGTGTGCCGAATGTCGAGAGTGCGCTGAGATGAAGGGGCCGGGCCGAACACGTGAGAAGCACCGGAAGGAGACATGATGACAGAAGGAGACTGTTTCCCAGGTATTTTATCGGTTAAGTCTCTGATAAAAAAATGATATCAATACGCATTCAACCCATAAATCAATAACCTACCCTTTATAGCCGTTCGTGACAAGCGACTTTTCGCCAATACCAACGGCGTCAGGAAAACGGACCCGCTTGCGAGCAGACCTGAATGTGCAATAAGCAAGATACAAGGCAGTAAGGCAAAGGCGTACTCTGTATTGTCTATGTCATCTTCAATGGTATCGGGGGACGAAGAGGTTGGATATCCGCACGAGCTGCAGAATCAGATAGTTCCGGAGGCGGCGTAGCCTCCCATTCGATACTAATAACAGGCTTAAATTAAAGCTGAGTATGCTCGCGCAAATGGGAACTCACTGGCCGTCTGAGGAAGCGGACTCTGTTCTGACAGGTACTTGATCACCTTCATGATATTCTGAAGCGGGAACCTCAGGCTAGGGAATCATTTTCCTACGATGTATAAATAAATCGGGGAAAAAAACAAAGAGTATCGGTTGGTAAACTCACTTTGGGATGCGTCCACCGGTTGACATTCTGGCGGTCCTGCGAACAGGTTTGCTTGGATAATAAATGCATGAGAAAAACGGGCAAGATAGACGTAAGATGAACGACATACTTGGTGGGGTCGCCTAGAGATCTACGGGGAGGCATGCTGGTAAACCAATAAGGAAACATACAGAGCCTTTTATAGCCCAAACGTACCAATCGCAAATCCATTGGGGCGAGTTGGGTCGCCGTTCCCGTTCGGGAACATGGTCGATGCCATCGGCGATGATGAGTGACGCATGGTGTTTGGCCTTGATTGGCAGCAGAGGCTGCGTTTTGTTTGGTCCCGTTCATGTACCTCGTCTTGATCATCGAAAACCAGCCTCCTCTTGTTATTTCCCATGTCCTTGTCGACGTCGGTTTGGCTTGTTTTTTTGGCTTTGGCCTCAGTGATCCTCTGGGCAATCTTAGCGTCCTGATGCATACATTGTCTGTCTAACACCAGGTCAGTATGTACCAGCAGAACCTCGGTTTTTAGCTACTCACTTCAATCAAATGGGCTGGTCCGACACAGTAATCTTCTTTAAGTGTCAACTGATGGTGGGCCATGTATTCCGCTAGACGCTCAATCGATTTTTCTGCGAAACACTGGTCAGTTAATGTCTTTTTTTTTTTTGCGAATGTAAGTGCTCACTAGCCGCAGATTTATCATAGAAAGTGTCCATGCTGAATGCTGAATCCGACAAAGTCCGAAGTGGGTAAATGTATGTGATGTTGAGGCAGGAGAGGAATGGGAAGGACGGAATATTGGGTTGGTGGTTTGTCGCTATATTCTTCGATTTTTTATAGCTCTTACTTCGTCTCATATTTTTGGCCACAGCATTAAAATCATTGGATCGGGGGTATAGTCTCAACGATCGCGCGCGCCAATGGATGTCCCTTAATTTTCGTCTCAGATGCAAGTACCTCTTTCTTCGATCGACTCCATCAACTCCTCGATCCCCTTCCATTTACCGTCCACTCCTTTTTGTACAGCCTCGTGGAAAATGGACCGGATGTATATTTTCGACGATCGCGTGCTCCGATGTATGTCCCTTAATTTTCGTCTCCGATGCAGGTACCTATTTCTGCGACCGGCTCCACCAGCTCTTCGATCCCCTTCCGTTTACCGTCCACTCCTTTCTGTATAGCCTCCTGGAATCTATTGGGAGTCCCTGATTATCCGCTCTCAGTGCTTTTGGGGCTGTTCTTTGCTGTGCCTATTTGCCGGGTTCACCTATGCTAGCTTGTTTACTTCTCGCTCCCGTATTGGTCATCACCATCGACATATCCGCCTTGACTTCCTGCACAGCCTACCGTAGGAATCTACTCCATGTCCTGCTATCATAGCCGACATTTTTATTTCATATTCTATTTATGACTCTTCCTGCCGAGAAGATCGATCGACCTCCTATTTCACCCTTGAAATACACAATGATAGCTTGGCATTTAGTGGTTGCCATTTGGTTAGGTTAAGCAAATCTTGTTCACTTACACCTAATTTAATTTTACAATCCGCGTTCCCCATCGTCTTGACTCAATTAGATCCTGAAGCAACCTCGAGTCATAAATGTTCAATTGACTGTACCCTCTGTACTCACTGTTCACCAAACTGAGCGGCGATAATATTTCCAGAGAAGTTCCAGTGATTTCAAATCATACAGGCTGCAGAAGCACCGACTCCTAGACCGGTGACCGTCTGTCTATGAATTCTGTCGATAGACAGACCGGTCGATCTGAGTTTGAATTTGTATCACGCGCAATATACCATATAGGGCAAGTTTGTCAGCATCCATCAATTTACAGCCTGGTTGTATCTCCGCTATGCAAATAATTTAAATTGGACCTCTAGGACATTTTGAATAGACAGTACAGGAGCTGTAAATTTATCCGAGCTTTATAGACGAAGTATTTAACTTTCTGGCGGCCTTTTTGTTGAAAGTTGTTAGTGTTTGGAGCGGAGATCACTTCGAGACCAAACACTAACAACTTTACACCTTGAGATCTCCAGCAAGCTAAACACTTGGTCTATTGGGCTCGGGTAAATTTCAGCTTTTCAATGAAGCATTCATAAATGCCCTAGAGGTCCAATTTAAAGTATTTGCATAGCGGACATGCAGCCAGGCGGTAAATGATGGATGCTGACAAATTTGCCTTTTAAGGGATATTGCCCGTGATACAAATTCAAACTCAGATCGACCAGCCTGTCTATCGACACAAACTGTTTTGATACGACAGGCTGGACTCGAGCCTAGCCGATTCCCAAGGTGGAGGTCAGCATAATCACGATTCTCAGGCCTCAAACGGATCGTACTCAAGACCGTCAGCAATGCCACCTTCAAAACATGACAAAGCTATTACTCGGACGCGAGGTACTGCGTAGAAGCCGAAGGAAATACCACCTGGTAGGCAGAAAATTCAGGACGGGAGCGTGGATATTCAGTTCCGCAAGTAGTGCACTGGTAGTAGTAATGATCATATGTGGTTGCCCCAATCAGACGTTCAGCCAGATCATCTATCAAAGTTGAGATTGTCATTCAATACCGCTTACAGACTTCCAGTGGGACCTGCTCAACCGCATGATGGGCCTAAATTGAATGCGATAGATATTGAAAACGGGGCAGGCCAAGATCGCGGGTCATAGAAACACGCGAGTCACGGACAGCATTAACCGAACATCGGAGATGCCCGATTAAATCAACGACAAAAAACTTTTTTAACTGTATGTGCGTGTGTGATGATTTTTCACCGAGTAGGGGGTATTTTTCCCCGAGTAAGTAAATACGAATAATCAACCAAATACGAACAAAGGCACAGCCGCTATTTTTAATAGCTTTTTGTCTAATGTAAATAGTGGCAGTGTCTGAAAAGTCTAGTTACAGCCACTAAAAGGGTCCCTCAACGAAATCGGAAACTAGTAAAAAAAGTGATCAAATTTGGGTGCCCTGAGATTTGAAAGAAACGATAACATATGTAAACATAAGTACTCGTAACTCCACTATGCTTAATAATTAAGAGGGATACTTTTATATTCCATCCTTTGGCCAAAAGAAAAAGATAATGCCTATCGGTATAGTGTAAATTCTCTCTGAATGTTTTGACCCGCTGCTGAATGCCCTTTATTGCGCGAAAACACAGTAAACCAGTATGCCTGATGGAATCAACAAAAGCACATACTTCGGCACATCGACTACACTCGCCCAATGGGTTGGAGTATTCTGAGACCCATCCGTCCCACAGAGAAGAGAATTTATTGAGTGTTGCTGAAAATATGTTAAAAGATCTCTGCCATGATATTTGCTTCAGACACAAAATTTCAGGTCTGCATTCGAATTGCATAGGTCAGTTCCATTCCATACAAGAAAATTTCCTCA